CCCTAAAGCTAGTCTTCTTAATATAGATATAGTATAGTTAGGATCACGTTATGGTTGACACGTACGGCATCACCTAAAGCTAATCTTCGTGAAGATAGATACAGTACAGTTAGGATCACGTTATGGTTGACACGTACGGCATCAACAAGTTTCAATTTACTTTCTGTTCTTGTATGCAAGTAACTCTGTAATGGTTGTCACAGAATGGAACTATCTTAAGAAGATTAGCTTTAGGTGATGCTGTTTATGTTCTTGTATGCAAGTAACTCTGTAATGGTTGTCACAGAATGGAATTATCTTAAGAAGATTAGCTTTAGGGGATGACTTAATACCATAAAACACCATACAAAAATGAGGAGATGATTTAATACCATAAAACACCATACAAAAATGAGGAGATGACTTAAAACTAGGCACTAATCCTCAGCGAGAACCCAAATTACAATCAAGATATTGTGAGTCTTTAAGTTGTCTGCTGTTTTATGCTAGATGACGTGATTAAGAGGTTTATTGGTATTTCACAAAATTCAGCAAATCAATATGGATGTCTTCACTTAATACTATAAAACACCATACAAAATGAGGAGATGACTTAATACTATAAAACACCATACAAAAATGAGGTCATATTTATAATCTACCCTCAAATTTGGCGTCAAATCTTTAGAACTTTCTAGGCCTATGTTATTAAACCTTAACGTCATCATTACAACCCGCAGCCCCCAGTAACTAACAAACAAATTGCAAAATTAAAAATATAGCTTACAACAATATGTAAGAGTCTATAATGACGTTCTACAGATCTGATTTTATGTTTATAATTACGGGTTGTATCAATAGAGTTATTTTTGTTGTTTTTTTTTTTGTTGAATTTCGTGCAAAGCCACTCGAGGGCTATCTGCGCTAGCAGTTTCTAATTTAGATGTGATGGTCTAGAAGGAAGGTAACTACTTAACACCGCCCACCGCCAACTCTTGGGCTACTCTTTAACAACGAAAAGTGGGATTGACCGTAACATTATACCACCCCTACAGGTGAAAGGGCGAGTATGTTCGGTGATGGAGTTCGAACCCGTGAGTCGAGTGCCCTAACCAGCAGACCTTAGTAAGATTGATACCGTACTCAGATGAAAAAGTTAAGGTCCTAAGGACAGTAGTCCGAGGATGTTTACCTCGTCATTTGAGAAACAAATTTCAGTAATATCTGGATAAAGATTTGTTTTGTTGAACGAAGTAGAACTAGAGCAGTGTATTGCTTTAGGTTGCAAATGTTGACACTAGATGGGGCTTGCAGGATTCGTGGAATACAAAATGATAAATATTTGTAATCAATCTTTGTAGATCGTAGAAGATTCCTTATACATTAAATGTTCAGTTTTATAAAATGTCTAAGTTTTTTTTTTAAATAGAATATTTAACCGTCCTCTGACGGAGAAGAGAAGACAAATACAAAGGTCATAGGGCAGCCCTTGTTAATAGAAAAAGTGTGGTAGCCATTGGTGTCGGAAACAAGTAACTAAAACGGTGAAGTGGAATAAAACATGAACGTTGTTCATGTGTCACATGTTGTAGAACAACATACCTGTTGCATAACTAATTACAGTTAATAAGTTCTCGCCATTCAAATATTTCACTACTGAACAAAGAATCATGCACAATTTTAAGTCTCCAAAGACACGTGGTTCTCTCTCTCTCACACACACACACACACACACATACAAAGAGACTCGTGCGGTTACAATAGATCCTCTCGTTCTGCTTCAGATACGGCTGTGATGGGGAACAGTGAGAAGGAAGTAGGCTCTTGATGATTCGCCGCCTGTCCTTCGTGAGTTATAGTAAAATCATGATGTTTCAAGGCTTGAATTTCATGGGTAGTTAACAGTAAAAAAAATAACGATAAGTCCTGTAGAGTTCGGTGGGGAGTGTCTCGATGTGTGAGGGAATGACACCTAGCCCTGTCGAAGGCCATCAAACGTAAAGTGAGCATTAATAGATGAAGATTAATGATGCAAATCAAAATCTAACGACCCCATTTTACTTACATTATTCCACTGTACATTATTTACTCATTAAATTGATAGTCTTTGGCCTATAGAATCTTGTCGTTTTAGGGGAAATCTTTAATATTACGCCATTAAGTTCCTTCATCTTAAGTTTGCAACTATGTTAATCCTTTTTTTTTTAAGTGAATGCGGGGGGGGGGTAAAAATGACGTAAGTGACTGGATCATTTTGATAACAAGAAATAAAAATGGCTGTCATCTGGAGCAGAAGATATACTAAGCATTAAACGAGGCCCTGGATTGATTATTAAGATTAGGCTAGAATTGGAAGATTGTGAAGCTGTTCTGTCTGCCGAGCGTGTTCTAATTCAGAAACAAAATTGGCCAGATTATATTTACTGTGCGAACTTTGGAGAGAAAGTCAGAAATCGATAAGGGTGACTAACTGTAAAACACATTAACAGCACTAAAAATAACTACTTCAGTAAATGAATTTTTCAGTTAATTTTTTTGGGAAAATCTAAAACACCATACAAAAATGAGGAGATGACTTAATGCTATAAAACACCATCCCAAAATGAGGAGATGACTTAATACTATAAAGCACCATATAAAATGAGGAGATGACTTAATACTATAAAGCACCATATAAAAATAAGGAGATGTGTTTGGAGAAGATAGCTAAGAAGAGTTTAGAGTTATTTCTACCACGAGTTTAAACAAGTAGTTTTTTAATGTATTACAATTAGTGTAGTTTTTAAATGTGACCAACAACATTTTGCACAGCGCTCAATCTTGTAAAATCATTATGGACGTAATGAAATAATTTTTTATTGTTCACGTAGATTGGACTTTGAATTAGTTGCACCAAATACTTTAAAAGAATGCCAACAACGTTACAACAATATTCTCTCATAGATTTTAAAGTCCATCATAAAATTGTTCCTGAAAGAAATGAGAACTAAAACTGAGATAAAAGTATAGTGCCAGTTAATTACGAAATCTGAGATGAAAGAATAGTGCTAGTTAATTACGAAATCTGAGGTAAAAGAATAGTGCCAGTTAATTATGAAAACTGAGATAAAAGAATAGTGCCAGTTAATTACGAAATCTGAGATAAAAGAATAGTGCCAGTTAATTATGAAAACTGAGATAAAAGAATAGTGCCAGTTAATTACGAAATCTGAGATGAAAGAATAGTGCCAGTTAATTACGAAATCTGAGATGAAAGAATAGTGCC